CTAGAGATCGGAAGTCTTAATTTAGTTTTGTTTTTAGTTTATTTAGTTTTATATACATTATTTGCTTCATCTTATTAACATTGATATACAACAAATTAAAAATATAAGGATCACAATATTTGATGACCTATATATGTCAAACGCATACCCCAGCTCTGAACTTTAGCAACTGCAGTTGTCTATAAATGAACAGTCAAGGAAACGACCTATTTTTTGGCCAGTTGCTAATCTAGTCGATTCGGTGACAAGGCTTACAGGACGGGTAAAATTGAACTGTTGAAATTTCAGACTGACGATCATGTACAGTTTTTGGCACTGACTGTTGTTTTTCTTTTGTCGATACTGTCCAAAAGAAGCGTTTATTTAAAGCGATGCGTAACAGCATGAACAAAACAGCTGAGGTGATTGGAAATTTTAGTTTTTGCTTATGGGTGCCATGTTTGCAATGCATACTACGCATGCGTAGTATGGTCCGACTTACATAAGAAGCTTAATATTGTTATGTAATTAATAACATGGCTGTTAGGTGGTCTGAAGTTCCTGACCCCTGCTTCAGTAAATAATTTCTTCCCCACTCCCATCGTTGACTGTACGTTACAAATTAAACTAACCACAACTGACTGAAAGTGAAAAATTTTCACGGATTTTGACGTCATTCTGGGGTATTTTTTTTTCTAAAACCATGAATTTTTTTCTTTTGCTCATGCTAAGACTCTTTAAAAACACGATGAAAAACACTATATAAAAAAAAACACTATATAAAAAACACTATATAAAAACACTATATAAAAAAAACTCTATATAGAATTCACTATTTTTTTTATCCATAATTTTGAATGTGTTAAAACTCTTCAACTTTTTAACAAGAAAAATCTCAAGTTGATGTTAAAAATTGCCGCAAAACATTATTGATTTATTTAAGACGGAAGGATCCATTATGACATTTATTTAAGATGGAATGATCTATTATGGCATTTATTTAAGATGTAATGATCTATTATAGCATTTAAGATGGAAGGATCCATTATGACGTGTCTCTAATTTGGATTTACATCAAGTCGAGTATTATTGGCATAAACAAATACACTCATTATTTTTGCAATATCATCTAAAAATGTCTAATTTATAGTGAAAAGATGATTTTTGTGCATTTAGTTATTTATGTTATTTTTGTTCTTTTTTTGTACATTTGCATTATTTATGGAAATAAATCAGTAATTGTATGATACTTCCTATTATATATAGTTGCTAATTAAGTCATTACTGGACATTACTAACAAGTTCCTTGCTAAAAATGTTCTCAGTAATTGTTATTTTGTAGTAATTTAGGCCTCCACATGTCCGCCCCTAATCGTGGATCTCAGTCGCATGTTTGCCAGGCCTGTTATAATGATCGCCTTCATTTAGATAAATTGGATTTATTTTCAATTTTTATAATTGAATTGTTCACTTATATTGCATATGATTCATTATTGTACATAATTAGGTTACAGTAAAATTTGTATTTTATATGAATAGTACCTTATGAAAATTGCGATGTAGTAGAGTTAAGGGGCGTATCATGAATTCGGAGGGGCACTAGACCCTTGCTCTGGTCCTGTACGTGTGTGTGCCTGCGTAATCTAATATCATCATCTATTAATCTTAACAATTTTTCCGACTAAAGAAGTTATTGTTTTATTTCTTTCAATGTGAGAAATAACAACTTGTTACTGTTTACCTTGAGAGGGAAATTTTTTTATTTCCCTTTTCATGGTCTCTTATTTTGTAAAAACACAGTTGTTTCCGAATTATTAAAAAAATGTTTGAAAATTAATTAATTTTTCAATTTAAATAAATTATGTCTATTTCTGAGATGAGGCATTGTAATTATTTATATTATTTGCATTGTTCGGACTGTTCTCCTCATTTTTATCGCCATATTCACGACGTTTCGGCCATTGTACGATCACGCCTTCTTCAGTATCTGTCTATATTTCTGAGATGATGAATCATAATTATTTACATTATTTGCATTGTTCGGACTGTTCTACTCATCTTTATCGCCATATTCACGACGTTTCTGCCGTTGTATGCTCCGGCCTTCTTCATGATATGCCTATATTTCTGAGATGATGTATCGTAAATATTTACATTGTTCAGACTGCTATCCTCATCTTTATTGCAATATTCACGACGTTTCTGCCGTTGTACGTTCCGGCCTTCTTCAGGTGATCGAAATTTCAAACTGAATCCTTTATTTCATCCACCGGGATAGATTGTTTTAGTTCCACGTACCATGCCAAAATCGGGAATGGCAACTGAAACACGTGTACCCACTAAAAATAACGTTTAGAGTAATAAAAAAAATCTATATGAACATACACTGCTCCACCTTCAGTTTTTCGCCGGCTGAACAAATAATGTGATTTCTTTATTTGTTACATAACAGTTCAGTACAATTTTCTTTGTTCCTATCGAAAATTTCCTGTTTCTTAATCCTGGGTATGATGATAAAATATATCGGACTTCAAGGCCTCTGATCGGGAGATTGGAGGTTTTGAGGGACATGAAACCACCTCTTAATTAATGTGGTTCCTAGGTCCATCCTGACCCGAGGTGTTAGAACCTGTTAGGGTCCTAGCTATTGACATATAGTGAACCCCTCCCAAACAAAAACACTATGAAAGTTGTTATAGTGGAACAACCTATCACACCCCGACAGTAATTGGTCAGTCTAAAGAGACGTGAATGAGGAAAAAATAAAAGAAGTGACAAAGTATTGTAGTAGCAGTACCACTACGGATCTCCGTGACATATCTCCCGTTTTCCTTATTATTATTATTATTATTATTATTAAGAACTCTTACTCATTGTACTTTCCATACAATAAAACCCATGTTATTTGTTTTACCTAATTCCTGTGTTTAGCGTAATCTTTCCACTTGGAATTACCTAGTTGCTTATATCGTATTATCCACGATATAAAAAAAAGTATAAAAATATATTTTTATATAAAAAAAATTACCAACAATACATATTTATATCAAAAATAATATCAAAAATACATATATAAAAAATGACCAACAATACATTTTATAGTAAAACTAGCAGCAAAGCCCGGCGTTGCCCGTGCTTGATTCAAAAATCGTACGACTCATACAGCAATCGCTATCACTTGACTTAAAATATTTTTGCCCCTCCTTGTCTTTAAAGGAGTGCCCTTTGCCGTGCTGATGTTGCTACATGCCTTACTTCTTGCCTTATCTCACACTGCGAATTTTTTCTAAGCTCTATACTAAACATTAACTCTGTTACGAAAAAAGAACTAAACAAAATGAACACAAAACGATCAGCTTTAAAAAAGGACTCGTAACTGGAAAAAAACGAATGAAAAAAGAATCTTAACAACAAATACTTTTTCACACCCAACCCACTTCTGCGGAATCAGAATCAACGTTGAGTTTAAGCAAGCGAATGAGCCAATTGGAGTAAAGTGCCATGCAGATTTAAATTATTTCCACTTGTGAAGAATGCAGCTATCGATTTTTGCATGGTAGCATGTTAGTTAACATTCGTGTCAGTCAGCTGTTGGCTCTCACGCTGGCCAATAGAATCTTCCTGCCTATTCGTGGCAGCTAGCTATAAGCTCTCACTCTGGCCAGTAGAAAATGGCCGCAAACTACACGAACACTGCCGTAGAAGGATGAAAAAGATCGATTATTTCCACTATCGATGGAAGTTGGGAAATGCAAAAGTCGGTCTTGGCCTTCCCGCTAACTTGAAGTATGTGCATGTAAATTTTGGTGCAAATCCGTCGAAATTGCGGAAAATTGTTACACACACACACACACACACACACACACACACACACACACACACACACACACACACACACACACACACACACATCCTGCCTTTTATAGATAGAAATGACAAACAATACATTTTTATAGCAAAATGACCAACTATACATTTTATAGCAAAATGACCAACCATACATTTTATAGAAAAATGACCAACCATTCATTTTATAGCAAAATGACCAACTATATATTTTTATAGTAAAATGACCAACGATTCATTTTTATAGTAAAATGACCAACAATACATTTTATAGCAAAATGACCAACTATACATTTTATCGATAGTTGACGGAATACAATTATGTTCAAAATACATTTAGCTAAAGGCATAAATTTTTGTTCAAAATATTTAGATTTCGACACTAAATAATCCATAGAGGTGTTGATATACCGTTAAACAAAATCAAATAACCAAATCCTGTTTCTTAATACGCTACTTTGGAAGAAATCTTTCACCATTCCAATACGACCTTCGGATTTCAATGTCGCATTTTCCGTTCTTTCCGGATATTTAAATTCTTATACTTACTTGATTTTCGTACCACCAATTTGTAATTTGCACGTTGGGCTGCCCCTTTTGCTAACAACCATATATTTTCTATTCTTACAATTAATGTTTAGTCCCTTATTTTCTTTACTACTTTCTGTTGGGGTACCTGTAGTTTCTTTTCTGTGTCTGCAATCAAAACTGTGTTGTCTGTATATCTTATGTTGTTAAGATTGTGGTCGCCAATAATGAATCCTGGTAGGACATCTAATTCTCTCAGGATTACCTCACTGTAAAATCCCTTAGGATAGGCTCGTTGTAGAGGCTGAATAACTCCATTGAGAAGACACGCCCTTGTCTTATGCCCCTTTCTATTTTTATGTATTTACAGAATTCATTTTCTATTCTATGCAATCGGTTTGCACTCAGAATAAGTTCTGGATTATTCTAATGAACCAAGCGCTCGTAGCAGTTCTTTGTGTTGTAATTTATCAAATGCTTATGAATAATCTATAAAATATAGTCATATATCCTTCTGCATTTGTATTGGTTTCTTTCTGATATCATTTAGAGCATAAATATCGCTTTCTTTGTTCCAGTGACTTTCACAAAATCAGCACTGATCTGCTCTAATTTCAACCTGTTTTTTTTTTTTTTTTACTAATGAGTTTCATTTTGCACACCCGGTCTTTCCTTTTACGTCTTTTCTTTTTATTTTCTTTCTTTTCATTTCTTCTTTCTTTTTTTTTCTTTCTTGCTATTCACTTATTCGCTATTTCCTTTTAAGTCCTTTCTTTTTCTTTCTTTCTTTCCTTCTTTAATTATTCTTTTTCATTCATATATTCTTTTATTTCATTTTATCTCCCTTCTTTTTTTTTTATTATTCTTTTATTTCATTCATTTCTTCTTTGTTTCATTTAACATCATTTCTTAAACCGTTAACCCATATCGAAAATACATTCAAGCAGCTACTCCAATATCCTAACGATTTCATATTCAATCATACTTATTATAAAACCCAGGTTGTGTGTGTGTGTGTGTGTGTGTGTGTGTGTGTGTGTGTGTGTGTGTGTGTTTTATATACAAAATCGAAAAATTTCCCATTTTTTCAACTGATTTCAACAAAACTTCACTTTGGGGTGGCAGGTAGTGTTTCTTATTGTCTTGCACACTTTTTTCTTTATTTTTACATTCAGAATGCTTTAAAAATTCCATTTACAAGACAATTGTTTATAATAAAATTCTATTCAATCGGTAGACTCATAACAATTGAAAACAATGTTTTTGTTTGAGTTTGGGTTTGACTAATTCGTAAAAAAAAAAAAAAAAAAAAAAAATCAAGACATGCATGTCCGTCAACTTTAAACAATAATCTTTGTTAATTTTATTTTTCAGTCTTTATGATGGTCGATACTTGATGTATCTTTTACTGTTACATCCCCGGGCAACACCGGGCTCTACTGCTAGTACGAAATAAAAGGCTCGTAAGATATTTAAAAGTAGAAAAATGGTCCTTCCCGACAAACCCAACGAATCCCCATAAAATATTATTCTACCCACCAACTCTATCGCAACCAAATTTGAAAAGAATTGATCTTCTAAACTAAGCAAAAATTGTTGCAACTATGTCTAATAAATGAATTAATACAAAACAACATAACAAGATAAAACGACGGAGGAATTTACTCTATTACCTATAATAATTGTCACAAGGAAACATTGGAGAAACGTGGAAGAATTTAAATAAAAGATTATATGAACATAAAAGGGAAATTCGTAAACTTAAGTCAATATTGTCATAAATGATATATATGCCACAAAAAATCTTCTGAGCCGACCAAGCATCAAATGAATAAAATATGGAAACAGTTGAAATTAAATGCCAGACAAAAGCGATAACAAAAATTGCAATATGAGCTCTGGTACAAACATAAATAAATAACAGCAAAAATTGCAATATGACATGAAATATATAGAATAAAATCTTTATTGCTGAAGACATTAGGTTTATAACATCCAAGAAATTCATAAACAGATATCCTAATGGCACAGTGGATAAAAAGCGTTAGATCCAGTGACAGGATCCAAATTAATATGAGTTCAATACCTGGTTAATAAAGTGAGAACTTGGAGAAATTAAGAGGAGATAATGATAACTGACAATTTTAGATACGGCACGTGGAACTAGAACAGTCTACCCTCAGTGAGCGAAATAAAGGGTTCAGTTTGACATTCCAACCACCTGAAGAACGCCGGAACGTTGTAAAAAATATGGCGACACAGATAAAGACACAATAGTCGAATAATGTAAATTTGTAACATAATACCTCATCTCAGAAATAGAGACATATAGTGAAGGGGCCGAAACGTTTAATAAATATGGCGACAAATATAAGGACAATACTCCGAATAATGTAAATATTACATAATACCTCATCTCAGAAATATAGACAGATACGGAAATAAAAACGTTGTAATAAATATGGCGATAAAGATGAGGAAAATATTTTTGGAATAATGTAAATAGTGTTTATAATACCTCATCTCAGAAATATAGACAGATACGGAAAGGCCGAAACGTTGTAATAAATATGGCGATAAAGATGAGGACAATAGTCAGAATAATGTAAATAGTGTACATAATACCTCATCTCAGAAATATAGACAGATACAAAAGGGATCTTTCATTAAATGCATTAGTTGTTCACAGTGATTGACCACAATTTTGATTTATAGATGCTACTCTATTTAAAAGAGAACACAATTTACTAAGACAGAAACGTTTAGAAAGTTCTTTAATTGCTGGATCTTACCATTCTTTCGCCTTTCTTGGCAGATCTCATGTTGTGACCAAGAGAGTTATTTAATAACAAAAGTAATGGAAGTATAAACAAAAAGAATCTAAAATGAAATCAGCTTTATTATTTATTTATTGTATAACCAAAACACATATTTAAAAATATTTTAAAATTTAGATATCCCTCGTCGGGAGGTATCTCATTGTAGTTATTTTTTATATTAAGTTTTAAAAATGTATGCGCTTTTTATTGGTGTTAATTTGATTTTTCTTCTTTGTGTGTTGTGTGTTGTATGCGTGTGTATGTGCATGTCTGTACGTGTATGTAGGTGCACGTGTACAATGTCGAGGTCATTTCTTATTGATATATATATCAACACACCAACTAAGTCAAAATTACAAAGAACGAACATTATCTATGAGATCAAATGCCCCTTAAGGAACTGTGTCCCTGATCAAACTGGACTCATAAATAATTACATTGGTTACACAACCACATGCTTATCCAGACGACTTACGTTACACCTATCTTATCACAGCTCCATTAGAACCCATTTAAACACACACACACAGATTTACTCGATTCCATTAGAAACATACTAGTAGAAAACACAAATATATTAACTGCATCCACTTGCAAAAAAAGATAAATAATGGAAGCTTTAATAATAAAAAAGAAAAATCCAACTTTTAACAATATTAACTACGAACAAAGCCACAATGTGCTAACCGTATTCAGAAATTAAAAACATCCCTACCACACACTGATATATACACAGAACACACACACTCAACTAAGCTGATAATCGAATCATCCTTGATAATGTCTAAAGGTATAGTCGAAAGCGCTCTGAAATATAAAACATTTGGACAGTTCTTACACACCCTTTGTCCAGAAAAGAAAGCTCATTTCAGAACACAAAAAAAATTAAATAAAAAGCTTAACCGTAGTACCTTATATGTATTTATAATGAAACACATAAACAGATATATAAATATATATATATATATATAATATACAATAAAAAAAAATATATATATATAATATTAAATATAGATAAAAAATAAAAAATCGAAAAAATATAACTCAGTAAATTTCTGATATGCCCGTGAAGAGTAGACGGACAGTTCCGCGAAACACTTGAGTCGGAAGTTAACATCAATGAGTTAAGTGACAAACTTTTAATTCAAATTAATCATATATATATATATATATATATATATATATATATATATATATATATATATAATAGTTTTTCCTTGAACGTTTAGAAATCTGTCTGAAAGCAAAACAAACGTAAACAAATGACGTCACACACTACGAAATGGACAACAATTATTTTGAATATATTTTATTGTTATACGTAATTTATATAGACACAAATATTTAAGTAAATGGTCTGTTTATAATAAACAGTATTAACAACATTTTCTGGACTGAACGTCCGAGAAGTTTTCATGGAAAATATGTGTCCTCCGACAGGAATCGACCCTATAAAAATAGAACGGAACCGTCATATAGGCTAACGTTTTCTGTATATCTAAAGTATCGTGTCCTGATTATATATATATATATATATATATATATATATATATATATATATATATATATATATATATATATATATATAAATTGTGTGTGTGTGTGTGTGCCTTATTACTATTAACGTTATTTTTTTCCTCTAAAACAATGAAATTAATATCAACCGGCGTAGATCAAGAAATCCTACTGAAGAAAGATGTTCCCCTCGACAGGAAATAAATCTGTAATAATAATAATAATATTTTGTGTGTATTTTGTATGTTGTGTCTTTTTAAATAATTTTCTATCTGAAAAAAATCTGATATATATATGATAAAATATAGTTTTAAGGAGGTCTGATATAGTTATGGATAAAAGTGCTCAATATCAGGGATAGAACATATATACATGTCATAGTTTTTACTTAAACAAGTATCGGCTTTAAACATACTATTCAAATACACATACTATATATATATATATATATATATATATATATATATATATATATGAAGAAATATATATATATATATATATATATATAAATAAATATATATATATGAAGAAAAAATATACGGAAAAAAAAACAAACAAAAATCCTAATATGCAATTATGCTGTTTTAATGTTAATATAATGTCAACGTCGGACGTTTCGGTCTAGTAGACCATCTTCAGGACATATTCATAAAACATAATTAACATTAGACTATATTTAATTCAACATGGAAAGACGATGGACATAATAGTAAGACTAAAAAAAAAAGAAAACGTCCATCGTTTTTCATGTTTTCAGATTAAATCGTTTAAAAACAAACGTTAGGGTATTAAAACTCACGTCTATCCACAAAATATATATATATATATATATATATATATAAAAAAAAAACAGTACAAAAATTTAACTGGTGTCCGGGATTACAAGTTGCATGTAGACGTAAAGGTGATTAATGGGTGGATGTATTTAATCTGACATCCTTGTTAATTTACATGAGAAACACATTTTTTCGGTATTAAGGCCCTCCTGATTTCTAGGTTTCTCGGTTGACTTTAATTTAACTGTTTCAAATAACCCTTATATCGATACATCTTTTATCGTAATAAGACCCCCCATATATATATATATATATATATATATATATATATATAAAAAAACATGTACTTAAATTTCACTGTTGTTCGCGACTAAAAGTTTCATGTGGACATAGACGTAGTTAATATTACTTTCAGACAATCCTCAATATAAAATTCAATATATGTGTGTGTGTGTGTGTGTGTGTGTTTGTGTGTGTGTTTTTACATTGACCAATTTGTTTGCAGTTCACTCCAAGCAAGGCAGTAAAGCCAATAAGATCTTAAAGTTTAGTCAAAATGAAAATATTATGAAAACAGAAACATTTATATTTTTATATTGAGAACTGTGTCTGCAGTATCTAAAAAATTTTTTTATTTTAAATATATATATATATATATATATATATATATATATATATATATATATATATATATATCAAAAAATAAATAAAAATAGGAAAGAACTCGTTAGGTAAAATAATCTAAAGTTCTTTTATTTTTTTAATTTTAAAAAAAAGCGTGTTGGAATCATTTTTTTAAATAA